GTTAGCATTCTTTCTCATAAGAATGGATACATAAGTGAAGAATTGTAGTAGTTATCCTGGACCCTAGCCAGGCCTGAGCACTGAAGAATTGTAGTAGTTAGTATTCTTCCTGGACCCTAGCCAGGCCTGAGCACATCCAAGAGAAGTGCCTATGTGAACCGTAGCGGCTAGCATTCCTTCTGCCGATGGTGCCCTGGACCTTGGCCAGGCTCAGCCACATCCCATAGAAATAGACACATGAACCATCAATGAACCAGATATTTCTGTGCTCCTAATCATGCAGATTGTTTATTAAACTGTATTAAAGCAGGACCCTCTCACAGCAAAGTCGGAGCCTCGCCTACGAGCGGACACACTGTGTAGGACTTCCCACTTGCCAGGATGGTTCTCCCATCCTTCGGTGTGATGGGGCTCCCCAGCTGATGCACAGATCTAGATGATGGTGAAGTATTAGGGCAACTGGTGATGTATCTTTCTTAATCACTATAGCTAACTTCAAGAGGTAATGATTGGGTGCATTACCTTGTTTATTCTGTCTGCTGCTTTAAACTAAAGTAAAATAAGCTTACTTCTTTTTAACTTGGTGTCTGTGTCCTTTCTGTTGACCCCGTCAACTGGCTAAACAACCACCTCCTCAAGGAAAATAGCATTTACTTCATCCCACATATAAATCCCTTCTCATTAAATTCTCTAGGATCTCGAGGAGACTCAGGTAGCCTCAGAGAATTAGAGTAAGAAAAAACATAAGAAGGGGCATGTTTGTTTATTTGTTGCTGCTGTTTATTCCTGTATACTTTTGGAAAAAGGTGCACCTCAAAGAGTGCAAGTTCTCACCACACTCTGCCAGCAATAAAGTACCGCTGCCAGCATGGAGGTGGCTGTGGAACTGAAACCATCTTGTAGTAGGATATTCTAGGGCTATGAGAGTGATACAGGTGTTGTGAGGAGTGACATTTCTTCCCTGGCTGATTTTGTAATCATCAAATCAGAGCAAAAGTAGAATGGATCCCTGGAGGTCTCCAGTCTGATCTCGTGCTTGAAACAGGGCTGACTCCAAAGTTGGGCAAGCTTGCCCAAGGCTTTGTCCAGTTGAGGTTTGCAGATTCCCAAAAATGGAGATTCCATAGCCTCTCTGCACCCCTGCTCAAGACTGCACCACTTATTGTAAGATTTTTCTTCCTTTATCTGGAATTTCCTTTAACAATTGCCTCTTATCTTGCAATAACAGCCCTCAAAGAGCCAGGGCACCCTCTGAATTCTCTGAATACACCAGTACTTTTTAAGGTGCTGTAGTCCAGACGAACATGTGGGAGGAAAACCATGGAATGATGCCCATGATTTTGAGATACACAGGTGCTCAAACTTGGTTCAAGACTCCTAAATTTTGCCCTTTTCTGAGGCTTTTAAGTACAAAAGAGACAAATATCAAATATTCATCCTACAAAAGCCAGCTAAACATGAAGGGCAATACTGAAGAGACTAAAAAATTAACATCTCATATTTTTGGACAACAGATTCTGTGCCTGGAAAGATCCTGTTAGTCACAGTAACCCAGTCTCTAGGTCTGCTGTGTCTGCAAGTGTCTCAAGCCCTGGGGATCACCAGGGGTCTACTGTTGGCTCTGGAAGGTAACTTGACGCTCTGCCAGCCCCTGCAAACTATTCCAGGTGGCATTTGCCCTCTCTACAACATGTACGGCATTCCCATCTCATCGAGGGTTTGCACAGACAGGGCTAAGAGCCATCAGCTACTGCTGTCTAAAGGGGTCACTCCTTCAGCCCATCTGCTAAATGTGCTGCCACAAAGGAAGAATTCATTTTGTTTAAGTAAAAACTTTGATTACTGAGATAAATCTGCTGGTACTAAAACGTCCCTGGAATGGAGAGATCTGCTGCCAGCAGAAAGGATGACTGTATTTGCTGTGAAATAGGAGGCAGAGAGTGCATGGAAAGTTGTGTTCTCTTGGTGTTCCTTTTCCTTCCATCCCTTTGTGTCTGTAGGGTTGCATGCCTTTTGTTTAGGGTTTTTTTGATATAGGTTCTGCTTGGAAAATTCAGCTGGGTTCTGCCGGCAATTAGCCTGCAGAAGCAACTGCCAGTTACCCAATTAATTAGCTAACCTGCCGAGAGAGATGGAGAATGAGACCATGTAGAAAGAGGCAGGGAAACACAGCTGTCTTGAATCCGAGGAAACACCGCATTAAAGAGATAAATCCTCTCTGGGGCAAGCTTCTGCTTCTGATGGCTGGTTCTGGGAGGAAAATGGCTTCAGGCAGTGGGACTGGGATTGTCCACTTTTATGGCTGTTCCTACAAAGGCTGAGGCTGTCTTCTCTGTTAAGCTCTTATTTTTTGTTTAGAGTTTATGCTGTCCTTGTGTTAGTGTTTGGTTCTTTGTGCATCAGATCTCAGCCTTGTCTCTACTCTCCTGGATCTGAAAGGTGGATTTGGTTTTCTGCCTTGAAGCTTAGGCTCTTCCCACAGCCCTTGTGAGCTGCAAAACCGTGAGCAGCCTCTTCTACAGTAAAGCCCTTTCTCATTGCTCTCTCTGTTCTCATTTGGGGTTTGCTAGATTTGAGTTTTCTTCCTTTGCTGTTTCCTAAAATGATGTCTTCCTCTTCTGCATTTAAATTCTCATTACTCTGTGGTAAACAGATCCTGCATTTGTTTTACCAATCTGGTTATAAGTAAAGGGTAATTTCTTGTTTCATCAAAACTCTTTTCCTGGTGTAGGTTAAGTGTTTGTTGGATATTTTTGATCACTCCTTCAGGTATTGAGTATCTGACACCTCCACGTGCAATAACTCATGCAAGGCCGCTGCCTCTCTTGAAATAAGAAAATAACTTTTGCTTCTTAGACGGATGCAACCTCTTCAGAGGGTTTTTTCCCTTTGACACCCCAGAAAAAGAGGCTTCTCATGCTCAGGGAAGGAAGTACTGGTCAGAGCTTCTTTTCAGACTGAAGTTCCCTCATCAGCAAATCTTTTTCTAGAGGAGATTTAAGTTGCTAATTCTTGAGAAGATAGTAAGGGAAGTTAAAATACCTTGTGAATCAATTCAATGAAATGAAGTGCAGTCTCTGCTAGCAGAGTAACGATGTGAGGAATCTTGCTATTGGTGTCACCTGTCTTTGCTGTCAGATGTGGCTCAGCCCAGCTGTCATTCAGCTCCTCTACAACCCTGGAAAGGCTCCAGAGCTTCTTGGTATCATCTTTAGTCCTTCCTTCAACTGGCATTCATCCATTCCCACACTGCTTATCAGAACCTGGATCCAGTACTTCAGAGTTTGCATATGCTGCAACTGCTACATCTAATGGGTACCCGTCTCCTGCCAGATGCTGTGGGCAGCATGGGATGGTAGGTCTTCCCTTCTCCAGCACGGCTCTCCCTTTGGGATACTTGGGGTCTGACTGTTGGCATTTGCTCCCTCAGAGTAACTGGCCAAATTATAATATAGCTGTGACTGCTCCGATGCAAATGTTTTGTTACTGTGAACAGCAGTGTTGGCGTTACCTGCATGAAAAAGGGGCATGGGTTTCTCTGCCTCAGAATCTTTGTAAATGTTTTTATTCTATTGTTAGCAAAGCTAGGAAGTGAGTTAAGGACACTTCGGTGTACGCCCAAGCACTGAAAAACTTCCCCCACCTGCTAGAAATGTAATGTGGTACCGAAGCTATAGGCAAACACTCAAAGCTGGGAGAGGTGGAGGGGCTTCATGGGGAAAAAAATGGGTAATATGGAGCAGTGAAGGATTTCAGAGTAGCTGGATATATCAGCGATCCAATGGGCAAAGCACAATTACTAGATTCCTTTATGAAAGCAAGAGAAAATAATAATGGAAAAATAGTTGTAAGCACTAGATTTATTTAGTAGCCATGGAATAAATTGGTCAGTTGGCAAGGGGGAAAGCAATGAAACATTTCTGATGTTTGAGAAACATACCTATGGAAAGGATCAGTTGCTTTTAAAAAGTTAGCAAAGTTAAAGGTTTGGCTCTTTTCTAATAAAATTAAACCCTTTATTGGAGCACTTGGGAGCTGGAGACCCCAGACAGACTGTTGCTATTTTAAACTCAGGTAAAGCGATAAGAAAGAAATTGGAGAGTGAGTTGGAGGAGGAGCTGTCAAAGGCTGTGCATTATGCAGAGGCAGATAAGGAAAGTAGCAGTGTTCTGCCTGTGGATTGAGTTGCTTTTTTTTTTTTTAAGAAGCAAACCAACTTTACGAAAAACCTGACACTATCTAGAGTGCTACGAAGACCACATGTGTATACTGCACAGCGCAAGCAAGGCTTTGGTAGTCATCACCAGGGCAGGCTGCAGTGCCAAGAGGGAAAACTGATTCCTCTGAACTGTTCAGTAGAAAGCTATGTGTATGTAAGAGATCACCTTCCTGCACCCAAAACAGCTGACAAAGATTACCTTCAGCTCTGTAGGTAGAACTGTCTCATGTTATTATCCCCACAAATTTATTGTTCATGTGTATGTTGCAGTCTACAGCTACTGAAAATAGAGGTGAGAGATTTCACCCTGAAACTCTGTGGTCCGTACCAGTGGTGGGTGATTGATACTCATGCTTCTGGTCTGCTTGCAAATCTTGCAGATCTTTCACCAGACTTCACTGTTGGTTACTTTATCTGTCTTTGAATCTCAAAATAAGTGCCAACTTGGACATATTAGTCATTAGCTAACAGCACTCTGCCTTTTTTTAGTACTTCTTTTTAAAATTTTAGTCCAGGCAATAAAGAGTTTTGGCCCCCATGTGCCTGAACTAACAGCCTTCTCAACCTGGTGGCTAAAGAAACAGAAGCTTCAAAGACAGATGAGAAGTAGGTGTAGAAAGGGAAAAGAGGGTTACCTTCTAGCTGCATGGCTTTCATTCCCCACATACACAGTTTTTTTTTGCCAGGTTATCACACTTTAACTCTTCCTTAGAGATATTATTGAATTGGGACTTCAGATTCCAGTTTTTAGTAATGTGGTAATTACTTTCATTACTTCTAGCTGATGTCATCACCAGTTTCCTGTTGATCATCATGCTGTTTATCGTCAGCTTCAACCTCCTCCTTGGTGTGGTGAAGGTATGTTCTCCACAATGACATTTAGCTGCTGGCTGAGGCCTCTCTGAGTTAGGAAGTATTAAAGGAGGGTCTCGAGGACGCACACTGAAAATGCTGAAGTATGATTGTAGAATCACAGAATGGTTTGGGTTGGAAGGGACCTTAAAGACCATCCAGTTCCAACCCCCCTGCCATGGGCAGGGACACCTTCCACTAGACCAGGTTGCTCCAAGCCCCATCCAGCCTGGCCTTGAAGACATCCAGGGATGATCACAAAAAGAAAATAAATACCTCCACGCTCTTACAGAAGAGAAAGGTGGCTGTTTTGCAGTCTCAGGCTCATCTGCAAAGCTGCTACCTGCCAGATTACCAAATCTGGGTGACATTCCCATCAAGCCTATTTTTTTTTTTTTTTTTTAAGGAATGCAAATGTTATGATTTGGAAATGTTTTATTGACTCATTTCCTTGTTGTTTTGCAAGTCAGATCCTGGAGAGGAACTGTAACTCCCCTATTGTGCTTAGGTTTCATTTCCCATTCCAGGAAAAGAAATGACCATGCATTTGTGTGGGAACCCAGCTTTCTCTGTAGTGGTAAACTTTGGGGGCAGCTGAATGACAGCTCTGATGGGATCAAGTGCCAGTGTCACATAGTGAAAATTCACAGAAACTTTCCATGGGGGTGAAAAACCCCCTATGTTGATACCCTTCATTTTTTCTGAATCAATTGTCACCACAGTATGTGGAATTAGATGCAGAAATTCAAGAAAAATATTAATTGTTGGAGTACCTTAATATATGTCCCTTCAAGTATTGACAGCTGGTCTCATTCTCCCATTCAGAATAGAAATAACCAACACTGCTTTTGTTTCTCAGAAGAGAGAACGTCTCCTGATCCCATTCCTTGCTCTACAAGTCATGGACTTTCTCCTCAGCCTCCTGACCATGTTCAGTTCCTACATACAAGTCCCGGCGATCATTTCTGTGTCCTCCCTTAGCCACACAGTAGGTAACATCTTGCTTCTGGGGTGGCCTTTTCTGTCCTCTATGAGGTGGAGACTGATGGGTAATGTAGGAATATAGGAACGTTATCTTGGGCCGTGGTTCTTCATGGCGAGGTAGTTTCTATACTGGCTGGAGACAGGATGCAGTCCTTGGGGGCTACAGGGTGCACAAGGAGAACTAGTGACAACTGGGACATTGTTTAGTTTGCCATGTCTGTGAAACTTCCTGTTGATTATGTTTTTAATGTCATGACTTTGGGGTGATTGTTCGGGGTGTGCCTGTGCCAGGAAGGGTTTGCTGAAGATAAGGAATATCACTGCTCCAGCTAAAGCCTTCCTCTGTGGGGCTTGTATAAATCAGCCAAACAAGGTGGTTTACTCACCGTTTTGGCTAGTATAAGTAAGTGAATTAAAAAGCTTAGGCTGTCAGTGTGAACAAAGCACAAGCCCTGTGTAAAATGTGGAAAATCGCAGAAGTGACACAATAACCAAATTCCTCTTCCCTGCCCTTCTAGCAGCAGGGACACTCGAAGGTCCCTTTCCTGGCTCTGCAGCTGCTGGACTTTTGCCTGAGCATTCTCACCCTCTGCAGCTCTTACATGGAGGTCCCCACCTATCTCAGCCTCAAGTCTTCAGAAAATGGGGTAGGTTATGAGCAAACCCTACTGACTTTTCATGCTGTGAGCCCCTAAGAAATTTCTTTCAGTGGCTCTTCAGACAGAATAAACTTTCTCTGATCCCTACGGTACACCCAGGACCTCCCTGTTTAACGACAAAGGATTTTCTGTATGTTCTCACCACCACAGTGTTCTTGACTGACAGCTCCCTTATGCGTGTGTTTCTTAAAAGCGCACCTTGTTTTTCTTGTAAGAATCTCATGGATGCAAATTGCAGAGCAAAATGGTTTGGATAGAGCCTGCCTGCATGCACTGAAAATGCATCAACTTTTCATCTTTATTAAACAGTCACACTTTCAGTTCTCATTTAAGCAGTCTTCTGAAAATCTTTACCACAGGAGTGTAAACAGTAGGTGGAGAAAAGTATCCCTGAGCTCTTTCTGAGTAGGAAAGGAATGGCCTATCCCACCTTTCTGAGAGGCAGGCTGAGAGACTTGCTGAGACCCCCACCACTTTATTTGACCGTGGTAGAGAGAACAAGCATTTATGACTGCGACCCTCTCCCTCTTTTCACAGGGCTTTTTGCCAGCCATGGAGAAGTTACCGACAGAGGAATATGCCAAAATGATGGTCACCTTCACCATTGCGTTCATCGCTGTCCTCTTCCTGAAGGTAACTGGCTGCAGGGTCTGGGGAGGCTGAAATGAAGCTCTCTTGCCTGAGGGATAGGAGGAATTAGTCTTACTTCCCTCTCAAACATGCCAGGGCATTGGAAAAATTTGTTGTTCTCACCTTGAGCTATGCCTTAGCATAGTGTCTGAGGCAGGTCTGATATTCAAATTACTGGTTTTATGCTTCTGCGGTTGTGAGTTATAAAGCAAAATCTCTCTTATATCCAGATACTATTACTTTCCATTCATCTCCTGAAGGATAAGATGTTTGCAAACAAATAGAAGAAACACTTCTGCTATTGTGTGCCAAAATAAATTAGACCATTAAGCAGCAGGTTAGATCTTCCACTTGGGTAAGTCGCTGCATCCGCACTGATGTAAGTGGAGTTATGCACACTGATACCCTGAAATTTAATTAAAACCCGTGAGCTGCTAAATCCTGCTTACATCTCAGAAAACTCCATGTGAGATGGTTTCCATTCTTCTTGCTTCAATGGATCAGAGAACAGTTGTTTCACTGAGGAGTTTCAAACCAGCTAAGAAATCCAGATCTTTCCACATACTTGAGCAAATTCTGTCACAGTGAAAAATGCTACTTGTTAGTTGGAAAGCATTTTTTATTCAGACTCTTCCCAGGTGGCCAGACAAGCCAGTGTGGAGTGGAGTGTGTTGTATGATTGCACTGCAGATGTGACATTAGCCTATCTTTGAATATTTGCATAAACTGTACAATAGGAGTGGAGATAACCCTGAAACCCAGCTGGCAGTGTGGGTCTTCAGCAGAAATCTCACTGACCTGGCAAATTGGCTGATTTGAATTTTCCACAGGGTTAGCTACAAGACTGCTTAACTTGCAATGACTTATTGCAGTGGAGTTTGTAGGGAGGGATAGGGATAAGATAGTTTTTTTTAAAAAAAAAAAAAAGTAAAGGCACAAGGACTCCCTGCTCTACCAAATTCCTTAGAACACGTCATTAGGAACCCCATCCTTTAAACTTAGTGGCAATCCCTCCCCTCTTCCCTGTGGAGCAAAACCATTTTTACGAGAGAGTTGCTTCCAAGTGGCAAAGACCTGATGAGTAACATGGCAACAACATAGAATGTTATAGACCTTAAAAGGCCATTTGGCCAAATTAGGGCCAATCGGTTTCAATTCACTCAATGCCCACACCAAGGTAGCATCTAAATATGTTGGGCTAGCCCAGGATCTTTCTTTTTATAAATTGACTTGGTTAATGACCCATCACAAGCATTTATTGCTGTTACACTAAAATATTGTTTCTGCGTGTCTGGTGCTGTTTGCCTGCCAACTTGCAGTGACTGTCCCCATGTAGTTACCTGCATCCCACAACACAGCATAATTCAGCCAAAAGGTGGTCTGTCAGGTGGAGAAGAGCTGAGGCACCTGCCTCACTGAATGCCTCTGCCAGTGACCTTGTATAAGGCCTGCAAGACTTCGCTCACCCTTTTAGCAGGAAAGATTTCTCTGACAATGCCAGGGGGATGGTAGCGCTCCTCTCCCTCCTTTCTCTCATATAACACTGCCCTTTGCAGAGAGCATGTCCTGTTGCAACTTGGAAGTCTCTTCATGCACCTTCTCAGCTCCTTACCAGTGCGGTGGCTGGTCGTATGTTTATTTGTAGAGCCCCAGCGGTGATATCATCAGTTGTTCAAGTCTAAGTTCTTTGGAGATGCAAAGTATTCAAAGGGCAGAGTGAGTGAAGGGATGGTCTCACCTCAGTATCATAAAGTCATCCCCTTCCACAACCACGATGAGAAGAATGCAGAAACCTAGGGGAATAAAACATTTCTCATGAGAAATGAAAGGTTTTAACATAATTAACTCTTGAAGCCGCTCAGTTCCTGACCTCTAGGACAAGCTTCCTATCCATTTATAACATCAGCGGCAGCCAGAGAAGTTTTCCATTTTCAATTCCGTGTGGAGAAGGGTATCCTACAGTGAGTCTTGGGTGTTTCGAGTCAGTCAGTAATGGGATGATCCCAACGTCACTGGCTGCCTTCATGTGAGCTGTGTGTACTAATGTATTCTGCTTGAACCTGCTATTGCTCACAGCAGTCTTAACTGAAGTCAAATTGGATTCAGTGCAGATACTGGGTTGGCACTGCAGCAAACTTTTCCAGAACCAAAATCAAAGAAAGGATTTTTTTTTTTTTTTTTTATTTATTGGGGTTTCTTTCATGGATGAGTGGGGGTTTTTTGTACAGTTTATGTGATGGCTTCAGTGTCTTGCATGTTTGCTCTCTGTATGAAGAGGCTTTTGGAAGGGGGAAGGTTTTTGCAGTATTCCCTAAAGGTGCTCAAAGTTTGGAGTTACCTCCTCATACCTGGAAGTTTGTTTGAGATGGATTCCTTCAACTCAGACACTTCATTCCTTGTTCTCATTCTTTGTCTTGGATTTGTGTCAAGACAAACATTCCTCATTGTTGTAGGAAATCCTAAGTTACATGGCTTGTTCTCATGGCATATAACGCCCTGTATTCCTTTGAAAATGCCAACTGTTTTTAAAGTAGAGTCTTACGCCAATAAAAATAAGAGGCACACGACTTCGTCTCGCTGCACAGAGTAGGGAAAATATTTACTTAATATGGTATGTTTCACAGGCCTTTCTTATTTTCTTGTGCCACATTCTGTCAATTGATCCAGTTTCCTCAGGAACGCTGTATTTATTGCATCTTGTAACTCTGTGAGGAGATCTTGTCAGAAAACTGTAACTATTGCAGTAACAGAGGATTTTGTTGAATGAGCTGACCTTTCAGGTCAGTCTTAGTTGACCAGGGAGCCTTGGATCTCTGGGAGGTAGATGTTGTGCCCAAGGTGCTTTTTTGAGACATCCAAAATTTGTAGCTTATTGAGAAAAATAACATGAAAGACATGCTTTCCTTTCCTACCTGACGACATTGAACTCTCAGAGTTCTTAAGCGTGTGCTTGGTATGTAACAGTCCTGTTGACTTCCCACACCAGTGTACTGTTCGGAACAGGTGGAGTTCTCACCTTGCTAGTGAAGGTTCAAGAGAGACTGATTTAAAGCTCTGGGACACATGATCTCAGGCTTCTACTTCCAGAGAGAGAGTAGGACAATAGCATGCTGATGGCAAAAGTGGAAATGCTGTGGTTGACTTGCAGTGCAATGGCAGACTTCCCTTTCCTTTTTAGGCCTATATGTTCAAATGTGTCCTGAGCTGCTTTAAGTATATTAAAGCCAGCAAGAGAGAGGAGGTGAAAGTCGATCCACAAGCAGTTGAAAAGGTGAGTAGACTGCTTCAGATTTACACCATGAAAGGGCTTGGTTTAGACTGATGTGATGCATAATGATCCCTTCTTATGCTTCTTGGGTGCTCTGAGAGATAGTTCAACCCTTCAAATGTACATTAACAGGTACTAATAATCAGTTTCCAATTATATTATATTCCTTTAATTTTACTTTTATATAAAATCTTTCAAAGTCAATGGTATCTGCAAGGAAACTGAAACTCAGGCTTCAGGCATAGCAGATAAATGGGAATATGTCACTTTTATTCTTAGATGAAGAGATGTGTTTTAAATTTCAGTTGGACTTTGGTTTCTGTGCCTAATAGTACCACCCATCTTTAAAATTAAGTTTGTCTTCACCTGTCACCGGATCAATGTCTGAGAGATTAGGTGCATTGACCTTCATATTAACAGTTTGCTAAATAATGAATATCAGTGTCCTTACTTAGATTACTGATGATCTAACAGTAGCATCCGGCTGCTCGGACACAATGGAAAGATATTGAAGAACTTCCAAAAATAAGACATGCAGTAAAGATGGATGAGAAGTACAAAGGAAGAATATGGCATGCTAAGTGCAGGCATTTGTCTTGTTGAAACTTGGCAAATATGATGACGCTTGTCTTGCCAGCAGCGTGTGGCCCTGCTCTGCCTGCATCGTGGCCCTCTGCAGTGATCTGAGCTTAGTGTCTTTGCTTAGGCAATGAGGCTCATATTCTGGACATTAAAGAGCCTTGGCCCATTAATTGCAGCCATGCTTTGGGAGAAGGAGGTGGTACTAGCATCAGAGTGCTTATAAAGTGCTGCTGACCTCTAACTATCCTGGATTTCTGCCCTTTATCTCTTACAGCCCATGGGGTTCTTTTACCCTGCTTTGAACTGGGTAGAGAACCACACCTAAGATCAAATCCACCTGAAACCCTTCCTGTGAGCCCCAGAGCATAACTAATGGTCCTTCTTCTCCTTCAGGCTGAGCTGCCATCATATGAGGAAGCCTTAGAGTTGCCTTCCAAGGAATCCCCACCATCCTACATAGCAATCTAAACTCCATCCACGGCAAGAAGACGTCCGTATTGCTGTTGGTGCCTCTTACCCTGCTGTCAGATAACGAGCCTCATTGAGAAGTCCCACTTTATGGCAGTATCATGCTTATTACAATCCACCTCACTTTATGAGCCTACAAAGAGTGATGGTGAACCACTGGAGTTGGTGCCTTGTCACACCAGCAGCTGTGACTTGGTACTACCAAGCTGCAGTGAAAATTTTAATAACTTTGGCATCAGGCACCACAGAGGTTCCCAACACTGGCCTCTGACACCTGGCTAATGTGAAGTGTAGGCCTGAATCCCTTGTCAGGCTTGCTTTATGCCAGCGAGATGCTGTTCCTCATCTGTCTGACATCTAACTCTGCAGCTGAGATATTTAGGAAGTGGAATGGGTGGAAAAAAGGCAAAAACATTTTTGCTGTGATAGACCAACCCTGAACCTATGCTAACCAACATCTTTTAGTGTGGACCGTACTGGAAAGGGATCAGCAAAAGAATGCAGATGTCAAATGAACTGCGATGCAGCTCTCATCCTGTCTGCTTTGATGTTGATTAATAGTGTGTACTCCAGAAAATACAACATGCAGGAATTGTCACAGTATTGCTCAGCCATTTTATACCTGAGTGTTTGCATTTTGTTTGCTTTTATTGTGATTTAAAAGATGTTTCAATAAAAAGAAGTTAATGGCTTCAATATTTTGCTGTCTGATTTCTGAACGATATTGTCCTAGTATGCCGCGAGGAAGCAATAGGTTGCTTTTTAAAAAATTAGTTAGCAAAAATGGTCCTTTGGCCTCAGGCTGATGTTATCTCATGTGTTCGCTGCTCACAAAGATGGTATTTCTAACAGCCAACTTGGCAAATTCATCTAAAAATCTAACTTGTTCCTTTCTCTTGAACATTATCACCAGTGATGAAGATCCTGCCCCAGGCATGTTTCTGTGGCACATCCAAGACTGACGGATTGCCCGGGTCAGTCTCTGTAGATGTTGGTGAATAGGGTTGCTGATGACAGGTAAGAGTTATCTGGAATTTAGCATCTGCTCACCTTTTTGGATTGTTGCCTGCTTTTTAAAACAACTCAGTATGAAAGTTTAATTTGCTCTGTAATAACTATTTCAGTGTCATCCACAATGTGGCCCAGAGCCTGGGGTCTTTGTTCTGCTCTGAAACAAAACAAAGCAAAAAGCTTCAGTGGAAGATTTGCTAAAGTATAAATAAGAAATGTCAGTGCTGCTCCACACTCTATCCACTGCATGTGTGTTTATGTGTATGGGGAGGAAGATAATGATGTTGGACATATACTTTTGAGCTGGTTTTCTCGTCAGTGAAGAGTGATTCCCTTTGTGCTTCGTCTCCCTTGTTCTGGGGACCACGATACTCAGTAACAGGCATGAAGCCTTGAAAAATGTACCACAGTGACATCTTAATGTGTCCAGTGCTTTTAAACTGCTTAAAATCATTTATCAAAGCGCAAACCCCTCAAATTCTTCAAGCAGAAAAGAATTACTTTCTGACCCCAAATCTGGCAATTGTTTAACTGTGACCACAAAGCAAGAGGCCAACCCAAAATTCAACCAGAAAACCTTGAAGAAGCATGTGAGGAGCCCAGCTTCTGGCATGATGGTCCAGCTGAGTCTCTTGCTTAATCACGTGTGGAGATAAAACATTATCTTTGAAAATACGAATAATCAATAGGCTAACGTACCTTCCAGACATCACCTGTCAGCTCTCTTGGTCATAGTCCTGAAGACTAGGCTGGATGCTGAAAAACAGCTGCTTTTTGTTTCTCACCAGCTACCTGCACACCTTGGCTGCAGTCCTCAAAGCCAGGTCTGGAGGGGGCTATGGGGTTGGGCTACCTGTGTGCAGCTTCTCTCCTTGTTAGTTTAGGGAGCTCAGTCCTTCCCTTAAGGTTCCCCATCAGTGTCTTTAAGTGCTGAGGTGGTGTGTGGCAACCATCACAGCACTGGGCCTTCTCCAGGCTGCTTTCCATTGGCCATGATTGACCAAAAGCGCATTAACTGGGTGTGCCCAAAATATCATTAGGAGAAATTCTGGCAAACCAGAAGAGGGTTCCTTAATGTGATCCAACTAAATTGTATTAAAAATCCTTTCCCATCTCTTTAAATTGTTCAAATTCTACCTCTAATTAAGTTCCCATTAATAATGCTCCAGGCTATTTAGTAACTGCAGCAGGGTTAAACACTGCCTAAGCCTCTTGGTTTAATTGGCTTTGATAATACAGCTAAAGCAACTGAAGTATGTTCATCACATCTCTCGCAGAGACGGGGTTTGTTTCAGTGGGTGTGATGAGTCGCGCCTTCAGGTACACACCTGATCTTCTATATGAACGTTTCATGTCTCTTAGCAAGCCAGACGATCCCTCTGCTTCATACAGTATTTTCTCGCCAGGGCTCAGAATAATTCCCCGTGAAAGCCTGGCTCAAACCCACACGGAAATCTGATAAAATGTATAGATTTATTGTGAGTTTCCAGCCAGGTCAGGGGCTCAGTTCTAGACGGGAAACAGTTTTGGTTTTCTGACATGTTAGATGATTCAGCCAACACAAACTGAACACAAGCTGTCCCAAGCCTGTTAATAAGTCAGACGGTGGCGCTATCAATGCTGGGTTTGAGACAGATAAAAGACTCTTTTTAAAATGCTACTGTTACACTGTTTTTCTTCTCTGAACTGATTTACTGATGTGAGTCTCTCCAATACAGGCTGAGACCCAATTCACAGAAATATGCTTAATGCTGCTCTACACATGGCTTTTTCTTTTTTTTTTTTCCCCAATGAAGAGGACTAATGAGCAGAAACTCTTTGATGTAGAGAGTAGCTTGAGCTGATGATCTTAGCACTGCCAGAACAGATATGTACGAGGGAATTGATCACCTTTAGAAGCAGCAGCATCTCAAGGAGGTGGAGATGCTCCACGACTCCAGAGATGTCCATGTGACTGACTGTGGCTTTTTCTCCCCATCTGGAGCAAAAGCTCCAGTGGAAAAAAGACTTTTTGCTTTGAATGTCTGTGTGTTGCCTTGAGCACTTCTGCTTTTTTTAATTTCTTGTTCTCCTCTAGGCATTCTGGTACCACTACCTTCAGTTGGAGGAGACATGCCTCTCCCTCTGCTCTGAAAAAAGACACTTCACTGATCTCCCACAGAAAGGGAAACTGAGGTGTGAAGGAAAAGGAAATAACTCATGGACCCAGTCAGAGAAGGGAGGGAAATCACAGAATGGGTGAGAGTGATCCTGGTCTGCTCTCAAAATCAGGCTTGGTACCTGAGACTACAAGAAAAGCCTCTAAAGGTCCAAGAAAATCCCTAGATACTGGCTGCAGGTCGTCCTTCCTCTTGGCTGGGGCAGGCGGAGTTGTGCCCTATGCCATTGCAGAAGTATTTTGTTTGACTGACATAAGATAGCCCATCCTGAGACTCCTCCCTCAGCCTTGGGCTGGTCCTGATGAGACAATGCTGCAAACCCCAGTTATGTGCTGGAAGGGCTCCCACGCACCATTCAGAACCATTTTGTCAAACTTTTGATAAACCTGTCCACTGATGGGAAATGTTTTCTGGTGAGGGTAACCAGCACAGGTTGCTCCAGCAATCCAGGCCACACCTTTTGGTAAGAGACTCTTAGACATGGAAACTCATTAAAGTTTCTGATTCTACAAATCCTCCTGGTGGTTAAACAGCACCAAAGCTGGCAGAAAACAGAGTGTCAGTAAAGCCTGGAGAGGGTCGGAAGCATTTTTCTGGTGCTGGCTTCTATCGGACTCTGAAATGGCATCCGGAAACACGATGGAGCTGCTAGCAACTTGGCAAAAATAATTCATAATGCAATAGGATCAACAGTGCTCAAAACCAAGCAGATCGAGTCATAGTGTTACTATGATGGAAAGGTCTCTCCTGTCCCAGGGGTATCCTGATGTCCATCAGTGGGTATAAATAGACCTTGAGGAGGGCAAAGACAGTAACTTGGCAGCATTCCCTGGCATCTCCTCAAGCTGATGTAAGCCAATGTGCTGACTGGCCCTGGAGCAGCGGAGGGAATCCCGGGTGATGGATGTGTGGCATTTCTCCAGGAGCTTGTCACGGCAGACCGTCCTACACCATGGGTACTGTGCTGCCCTTCTTGGTTTCCTTGCTGCCTTAGTTCCTACTGCTTTGAATGACACCTACAAACCTTCCAGGATTCAGACCCTAGAGCCTGGGACTGGCGCCATTATAATTGCATAAATCAAACATCATAAAAAAGACAGGCTTTACTTTAGCTTTCCTGCAGACAGTTCATTAAGATAATTACTCACTTGTATCAGTCGAATGAAGTCGTTGCAACTTGCTGTCCCCAGTGGTGGGCCCAGAATGACAGAAATTGGCAGTGTGGTCATGCATCAGCCCAAATCCTTTAGCTGCTGTTTGCTTTCCGTCTGCAGGCTCATCCATCAGGCCAGACGCCCCCATGGACTCCAGCTGAGGATCTCTCTCATCCATGTGTCTGCCCGCTGGATTTCTGTAACTTTCCCACCAGTGAAAGTTGCTTTACAAAGCTGTTCCCCTTCTTGGATGATCCCAGAGTCTTTATTACTCCTTTTTCCTCCCTTGGACATTTTGTAAGGTTTGCTGTGATTATGTTGGCTGCTTCACCTCAGAGAAAAAGAGCTGCCGGCAGAGTGACCCTCATCTTTACAAATGGTATCTCACCTCCTGCTGTTCCATTCAAGCAATTTAGTAGGACATACATGACCTTAGTGACTTCTGGGCCAGGCCAGCATTGCTGGTGGCACTGTACAGGTGGAGAAGCCAAGGCACGGAGGGAGGACATGAGGTGCCCGAAGTTTTGCAGGTGGTCAGCAGCAGAGCCAGGAATAGCGCCCCGGAGGCAGCTGGGTCCCAGGGGGGGAGTGGGGAAGGTTAACACGGCAAATAAAAATGATCCCTCTGAAATAAATGTGACCTATAAAATACATAAACATTGACTAGCCATAAACAGCATTTACTATTTACAGCATCA